CTCAACAGTCTGCAGAATCCCCTCACTGATTACACTGTAAATGATAATCTACCTTAACCAAAATCAAAGTAGACTATCACTCACCCACATATATAACAGAGCTGCCCGGTAAACCGTAGGCAGAGAGGGAGATGAGTATATATGAAACTCCGACGAAACAGTTTGTCACAGCCCCTCGTTTCTTGTCCTCTTCTCCCTCTCTGCCCCTACGGTTACGGCGCAGCTCTGTTTGACGATATATATATGTTGTCACACAGTGTATATATATATATATATGTATATATGTGGGTGAGTGATAGTCTGCTTTGATTTTCGTCACAGGTACCTTGAGGGCAGTGGTTGGTGGTCCCCACCACCTCAGGGTCTCAGCTCAGTTGTCGGGCAGTCGTTGATGCTTAACCACAACCGAGGTTAAGGTCGATTATCACTTACAGTGTAATCAGTTAGGGGATTCTGCAGATGTAGAGGAGGGTTCACTTTCCTGATGTGTCGGTGCAACTCCGACGAAACAGTTTGTTAGAGCCCCTCGTTTGTTGTTCTCTTCTCCTCTCTGCCTACGCTTTACCTGGTAGCTCTGTTGGACTATATATCGTCACAACGTTATAGAGCGTATATATATCTATATATATATACCGGGCAGTTCTGTTTGATGATATATACATGTATATAGTCAAACAGAGCTGCCCGGTAAAGTGTAGGGGCAGAGAGGGAGAAGAGGACAACAAACTAGGGGCTGTGACAAACTGTTTTGTCGGAGCACATTCATTATGCAAAGACTATGTATGTTTTTTAAATCTATCCTCTTCTCTCAATTTCACCTCCCACTACCTACCTACCTCCCACTACTCCTAATTAATTGTAGGCTAGGCTACGGGAACCCCGTAGCAGCCAGAACCGTGTTGACGAGAGCACATGCATGTGTGGCTGCTCCCGGCCTGCAGGTGGGTTTAAAAAAAAAAAAAAGAAAAAAAAAAAAAAAGAAAAAGAAAAAAAAGAAAAGAAAAAGAAGACTATGTAGGTACCATACGGGTCTAGCTCAGTTGGTACACCCATGAACAGTTGAAATATGAATCAGACCCAAGTTGAATCCAGATGCAATCAGATGAGCAGAATCAAATAATTCGGAATTACCTGGGGCCGGTCAGTTCAATGATGATATATATCAAGGCCGTCAACCTTTTGTTTTTCTCCCCCCAAAAACATGAGTATGTTTGTCCATTATGAGATGAGAAGACGACGAAGAAAGGTGAAGAAAGGGGATATGAAATGGTGATGGAAGGCGAATCTGGAAGAGGAGGCAGACTGTAACGGTACAGAAGAAGGTGCACTCAACAACTGGCATCAGCAACGGCGGGGACGGCTACACATAATAATGGATATGGAGCCAGGGCCATAAGGATCTGTTTTTTTAAAAAAGGTACACGCAGCAAAGCAGCAGGAACCATAAAACACATCAACTGCACCATTACTTCTGCTGCTCCTTCTTCTGCTGCTGTTGTTGTTGTTGCCCCTGTTTTCCTTTTTTCCTTGCAGAGAATCATCATTCTGGTACTACTGGTACTACTACCACTACTACTACTACTACTACTACTACTATTCCTCGTACTACTAGTAATGCTAATACCAGTACTAGTACTAGTGCTGGTACTTGGACTAGTAGTAGTAGTAGTACTACTAGTACTGCTAATACCAGTGCTAGTACTAGTACTAGGACTACTATTACTGCTACTGCTGGTACTGCTGCGGATACTACTACTACTACTACTACGACGACGACGACGACGACGACTACCACTACTACTATGACTACTACTACCACTACTACTACTACTACGACTACGACTACTACCACTACTACTACGACTACTACGACTACGACTACTACGACTACTACTACGACTACTTCTGGTACTGCTACTACTACTACTACTACCACTACCACTACCACTACCACTACCACTACCACTACCACTTCCACTGCCACTACTACTATACGACTACTACTACTACTACTACTACTACTGCTGCTACTGCTACTGCTACTACTGCTACTGCTACTACTGCTACTACTACTGCTACTGCTACTACTACTACTACTACTACTACTACTACTACTGCTACTGGTACTACTACTACTACTACTACTACTGCTACTACTACTACTACTACTACTACTACTGCTACTGCTACTACTCCTACTCCTACTCCTACTCCTACTCCTACTCCAACTGCTACTGCTACTGCTACTGCTACTGCTACTACTCCTACTNCTCCTACTCCGACTACTACTGCTACTGCTACTGCTACTGCTACTGCTACTGCTACTGCTACTACTCCTACTCCTACTCCTACTCCTACTCCTACTGCTACTGCTACTCCTACTACTACTGCTACTGCTACTACTACTACTACTGCTACTACTGCTACTACTACTGCTGCTACTACTACTGCTACTGCTACTGCTACTGCTACTGCTACTGCTACTGCTACTGCTACTGCTACAAGTGGTACTACTGTGACCTGAACTACCAGTACTACTTCCAGCGTTACGGCGAGCAGTAATTACTACTCGCACTAATTCACAAGACTAGTACTAGTTCTTTCTATACTAGAGAAGTTCTCGGTGAACCACAGGCAGAAAGAGACAAAAGGACAAGAAACGGGGTGTGTGTGCCGGAATTATACCGACTCGTCAGGACATATACTCATCTGGACATCTATCCTTGCATAACAGGTCTTCCCCCAAATGCAACCCAACGTCATCATGACTGTATCAGACGGGGAAGATACCTTGTGTACATTCATGTCCAGGTGCTTCATGTTCGGGGAGTTTTTGTCAACCTAATCTGCCATTATATTGAGGTCAAATTCATCCACGGGGAAAGCTATATTTTGGCATATGATTCTGCCACTGCTGTTAGTAGAATGGACCAATTGGGACTGCCAGAGTGGAGCGTCGGGGGCCACTGTGTGAATCTTGCCATGATTGCAGTCACATTCATCCACAAAAGTTACTCCTTTCGCGTGCACCAGAGTGGGGCGTCAAGGGGGTAATTGGTGCCCTTGGAGAGCTATGCGATGGGCGACCAAAGATAAAGGTACAAACGTGGAAGGGAAACAAAAAAATCGTTGTTTATCGGCTAGGTATACCAGTTATTTGTGCATTGACTGAGTTTAGAATGGGATATAACCACGCGGTTGGAATGACCCTGCAAGGAATCGAACCGGCAATCTCGAGCTCAACAGCCAGACGCCTTAACCACTACAGCCTTCACGAAAAGCCACTGCAACGTTAACGAAAAGTCCTTTATTGGTGGATTTCACCGGTATCACATAAAGGCTGTGTTGTAACGAGATGTCGTTTCGCCTCCTGTCCCCAATTAATTGGGTGATCTGCCTCTTTCAATTCAAACCTAGGTTAGCTCAACATCCAGACGCCTTAACCACGGCAACCGTAACGAAAAGTCCTTGATCCTCTGCGATCCACCTTGATTGGTGGACTTCACCGGTGTTACCTAAAGGCTGCTGTGTTGTAATGAGATGTCGTTTCGCCTCCTGTCCCCAATTAAATCTGCCTCTTTCAGTTCAAACCGAGGGTTTAACTGCTAGGTATATCACTTATTTTTGCATCGACTTAGTTTAGAATGGGATAAAAAAAAGAAGAAGAATGGGATATAACCACGCTGTTGAAAGGACCCTGTAAGGAATCGAATCAGCAATCTCGACCTCAACAGCCAGAAGAATGGGATATAACCACTGCCACCGTAACTCGGTGTTGGAATCATACGGGTCATGATATCCAGCCCACCCCTGCATGGTTGCAGTACACACACACACACACACACACACACACACACACACACACACACACACACACACACACACACACACACACACACACACACTCTCTCTCTCTCTCCACATGGCATGTGTCGAGACCCGCTTGCAGGTAACTAGCCCTGTTTGTCGGCATAGCCACCAAGTCCGGGTACTATTTCCCGGCCAATTACCACATGAAGCCATGGGATATAACCACGCTGTTAGAACGAATTCATAAATCATTTCAACAAAAGATTGCCAAGTATTGGCTTCTAAATGACCTCCCTTCATGGGGACAAAAAAATGACCTACCTCTGTTCATGGGGACAAAAAAATGACCTACCTCCGTTCATGGGGACAAAAAAATGACCTGGGGCTATCGCAGTTGGTACACCCCTGAACTTTTTGAAATACAGCCTCGAGCTCGAACTCCACCGGAAGGCTGTCGCCCTTTTTTAAATGAAAAAAAATTGGAAATACTATAATTTATTAATTTCGATGAGTGGAAATTGGAAGTACTATAATTCTGAGTTGCCTAGGGCCCGTCTGTTCGGTGATGATGTCTCAAGGCTGTCGCCCTTCTTTAAATGGAAAAATGACCTACCTCCGTTCATGGGAACAAAAAAATGACCTGGGGCTAGCGCAGTTGGTACACCCCTGAACTTTTTGAAATACAGCCCCAAGCTCGACTCCACCGGAAGGCTGTCGCTCTTTTTTAAATGAAAAAAAAATGGAAATACTATAATTTCGATGAGTGGAAAATTGGAAATACCTATAATTCTGAATTGCCTAGGGCCGGTCTGTTCGGTGATGATGTCTCAAGGCTGTTGCCCTTCTTTAAATGGAAAAACTAAATAAAAAAATTTGTTTCAAACATAGATGGCTGTGCCTTCTAGGATCTGATATGACCTGACTTGTGTCTGCTGCAGGGCTGCAGAGCAATTGGTTGGCCTGCCAGAAGAAGCTGCGGTGATGACATCAGGCCAAGGCAATGCAAGTAGCAGCGGTGTTGATAGGCTTGGTTCCAGGAAGCAATTGGGATGGAGGGATTCGTCGATGCCCGACAGCACACCGGGTGGTGGGGTGTTAGGGGCTCGAGGTGGTGATTGGGAAGGAGGAGGAAGAGGAGGAGGAGGAGGAGGAGGAGGAGGAGGGGGAGAAGAGGAGGAGGAGGAGGAGGAATCTGATGTGTTTTTATTGGGCAAATCATATTTTGACATGAAAGAGTACAGAAGGGCTGCACATGCTCTCAGAGGACTTCCTGGGAAAAAGGCATTTTTTCTGCGCAGCTATGCAATGTACTTGGTAAGCCTGTTATTAGATAGACTCCTCCTCCCTCCGACCTCAAGAGTGTTTTTTTTTCCCCTTTTTTCATCCCTTTTTTTCCCCTTTTTTCATCCCTTGGTAAGCCTTTTTGTTTTGGGTGCCACCTCAGAGTTTGTGATATCCTCCTTTCTGGACAATTTTTAGCAATCGTATTTTTTTTGGTAAAAAGGAAAAGGATCCTTTCCAATTCCCCCCCCCCTTGCCCCCTTTTTCCCCCCCCCCCCCCCCCCAAAAAAAAAAAAAAAAAAAAAAAAAAAAAAAAAAAAAAAAAAAAAAAAAAAAACACCACCACCATAATTTCAGTCCTGGACCCGTTACCCAAGAGCTGAAAAGTAGGGTTCCCCATTGACTTCTTGTGCGTCCCCCTCCCCTCCTTTCTCAACCCAGAGCATATTCTAGCCCAGGGCTGATCCCTGCCCAGAGCAGATCCAGACCCAGAGTGAATCCAAACCTAGAGCGTATCGGAAGCAGATCCCAACCCAGAATACACCCAGAATACAGAGCAGATCCCAACCCAGAGCAGAGTACGAAGTTCCTGGATGCATATTCTAACCCAGTGCAGATCCCAACCCGGTGCAGGTGCAGATCCCAACCCAGTGCAGGTGTAGATCCCAATCCAGTGCAGGTGTAGATCCCAATCCAGTGCAGGTGTAGATCCCAACCCAGTGCAGATCCCAACCCAGTGCAGATCCCAGCCCAGTGCAGATCCTAACCCAGTGCAGGTGTAGATCCCAACCCAGTGCAACTCCCAACCCGGTGTAGATCCCAACCCAGTGCAACTCCCAACCCGGTGTAGATCCCAACCCAGTGCAGATCCGAACCCAAAGCATATCCCGACCCAGAGCAGAGCAGCACTGGGTGGCCCAGAGCTATTCCGTTTCCCAGACTGGTGAGTGGTTTGCACTTTCTAAGGGCATCCTCACACTACGACTTTCCTGGATGTATATGACTACTTTTCCGACCTGGACTGGATGCACTGACTGCTATTACGTCGACAGAGAGGTGGAAAGAAGTCCTAGTGTGAGTATGCCCTAAATGCCAATCTATAAGTTTTTGAGAATGGGTAGGCACTTTCTAAAATTCAATGAATGAGTGCAACATTGGAAAGCTGCTGAAATCGAGGCTGTGAAAGGAATAAATTGAGTGCAACTGTCCTTTGGGCCCATCCGTTAACATTGGAACGATACAGAGAAGATCAGCATGGCCCCTGAAAAAAAAAAAGGAAAAAAAAAGTGCAATTGGTACCTACCTTCCGGTGGCTGAATGTATACGCCTGATGGATAAAATCATCAAAATGGGTAACTGTTAACAAACAGGTCATGGGTTCAAATCCTGATGGGAAAAATAATGTTCTAGGCTACCTCCTTCAGAAAAAGAGGAAAAGAAGAGGGAAAAAGCTGTGCAAATGGTATGACCCTTGCTCATGGTGGCGCTTTTTTTTATTGTGGTGAATTCAGGCAGCCTCTGAAAAAAAGGGAAAATAGAAGAAGAAAAAAAGAAAAGAAGAAGAGTGCAATTGACCTGGGATTCACTCATGGCGGCCTTTTTTTTTTTTGGAGGTGGGGGGGGGGTTGCTGAATGCAGACAGGTTCAAAAGAAAAACAGAAAAGAAAAAAAAGGGGCAATCGGTCTCAACGCCGATCATGGTGGTGATTGTCTGTGTTGTAGGCAGAATCAGCAAAAAGAGAAAAGATAAAAAGAAAGAAAAAGAAAGAGTCAAGAAAAGAGAAAAGCTAAAAAAGAAAGAAAAAGAAAGAGTCAAGAAAAGAGAAAAGAGAAAAAGAAAGAAAAAGAAAGACGGAAAGAGTGTAAATACGCTGGACGTTTCCCATGGTGGCAACTCTTTGTTTGTGCTGAATGCAACAGGTTCAGAAAAACAAAAAGCACCCCCCCCCCCAAAAAAAAAAAAGTGCACTTCATCTGAACGTTGCTCAATTGTTGCTTTTTTTCGGTTACTGAATACAGGCGAGGGAGATTCAAAAAAAAAAAAAAAACCATGAAAAACAAATAAAAACAAAGAAAATCAAAGGAAAATCAAAGAAAAACAAAGAAAAACAAGGAAAAACAAAGAAAAACAAAGAAAAACAAAGAAAAACAAGGAAAAACAAGGAAAAACAAAAAAAAAGAAAATCAAAGGAAAATCAAAGAAAAACAAAGAAAAACAAGGAAAAACAAAGAAAAACAAAGAAAAACAAGGAAAAACAAAGAAAAACAAGGAAAAACAAGGAAAAACAAAAAAAAAGAAGGAAAAACAAAGAAAAACAAAGAAAAACAAAGAAAAACAAGGAAAAACAAAGAAAAACAAAGAAAAACAAAGAAAAACAAGGAAAAGAGACGGAAAGAGTGAAAAAACAAGGAAAAACAAGGAAAAACAAGGAAAAACAAAGAAAAACAAAGAAAAACAAAGAAAAACAAAGGAAAAAAAGGAAAAGAGACGGAAAGAGTGCAAATACGCAAAACAAGGAAAAACAAAGAAAAACAAGGAAAAACAAAGAAAAACAAGGAAAAACAAAGAAAAACAAAGGAAAAAAAGGAAAAGAGACGGAAAGAGTGCAAATACGCTGGCCGTTTCCCATGGTGGCAACTCTTTGTTGGTGCTGAATGCATGCACAGATTCGAAAAACCAAAAGCAAAAAAAAAAGAAAAAGAAGTTTGTGTTAGTCCCCGGGCCGCCCGGCTGGGGGAAGGTCGCCCGGGTACCCTCCCGGGCGGCCCGGACCGGGCAGGGTCCCGGGCGATCCCAGCGCATAATATTCTAAAAGATAGAAAATATTTTGTTTTCAAAAAAATCCAAAAAAAAAAGATATGTTGTCTAAAATTGCAATACAAACGGCTTTTGGCTGAGGGCCACCTCGAAATTCGTTGTTAATTTCAAGATAAAAAATAAATGAGAAAACCTGAGTCCCAAAAGACTCCAAATGTACCCTTTTAAGCCCTTTAGTCACTGTTTATACCCCCCAACCCCCCATGGATGACCCATCACCAAAACCGAAGTTAAGACCGGATTCTGACTGCTTGGGCCAAGCGCAGTCCTGGCCTGAAGTCCTTTTTTTTTTTGGGATCCTTGCCTCTTTTTTGACCCGTCTGGTTTTGCCGGGCGACCCCCCCTCTGCCCAACTGGCCCGGGCGTGCCTGGCCGGGCGACGGCCCAACATAGAAAAAAGTGCAATTTGTCTGGAAGTAGCTCAGTTGTTGCTTTTTTTTTTTGTTACTGAGTACAGGCGAAGGGAAATTCTTTTCTTTTTCCTCGAACAAAGCAGATGTCATATAACCGGAAAACGGGCCCAGCATCCCTTGCATCATTTGCTGCGGCCAAATGGGCTAAGCAAGGCACTCTCGGCCAAACCTATCCCTACCGCAGCCCCACAAGGTCATGACAACCAATCTCAATCCCAGCCCTAAAACAAAAATTGCGTTCCCTAATTTAAGAAACCGAAAGCCTAATCCAACCCTTCTCCCAAACTGCCATTATTAAGCAACCCTGATCTAGCGAATTCCAAGCCAGGTAACAAATCACCAACCAAAAGCACGAAAACAAGATTGTCAATGATCTAATCCTAATTACCCACGGACAAAATCCCAAAATGATTCACAAAGTTCTTAAATTTGTACCCTGTGCACGTCCAATGAGCAACCCCAACTAAAATCCAAATCAACACCCTAGGTGATGGTCCAACCCACGGGCAAAAGCAGCAACCATTCAAAAATTCACACTCTACACTATGTATACCTCTAATCAACACCGCCAATCAGCAACAAAGTAGCAGAGCTTCGCCAATCTTTGAAAATCACGATCGTAATGAGCACCAATACTACCTAGCGAGTATCGCTACCCTAATTGTTGACAAACAAAGTCAACGAATTACCATTCCACAAAGACCAATTATACAGCCCGAAGTTCCCAAACAACCCCTCCACGATTCGTACTATTCTATACTGAGAAGACACAGCCAAATGATTAGAATCTAAAAACACAATGAAGAATCTGTGAAAGCACCAAAGGTAAGAGAATAATGAGCAACAATGGACAACACCGGTCACAGCTTGAAACCCTTTCTCTCTCTTTCCTCCCGGAAGTCGACGTTTGGCGATATTTGTCCTTCATCTCCAGCTCTTTGCACAGATAAAATTGTAACCGCCGTTTCATGTTGCGCATCTGTAATCAGAGGGCAAAGCCCCTGACGAGGTGATAATACTGATAAGTACGATGCGCAGATCTTGCCCGTTGACCAAACCCACATCTCTCCCCTTGCTTCTGCGGCCAATCTAGGATTACCAACTCTTGTTATGCCCCTGATCAGGGGGCGTAACAAAAATATTTCAGGCCCAGCCGACGCCAGGGTTTTATGGGAAATTTGAATCATGGTCAGAGGGAAAATATTTCAGGCCCAGCAGACGCCAGGGTTTTATGGGAAATTTGAATCATGGTCAGAGGGGAACGACAGGATAAGTGGGCCGTCAGAGGGCGCGACGCAAAATAATAGAAATTACAGGGGCACCAGATAAATTTTCCCAAAAAGAAAGAAAAAGAAAAGAAAAAGAAAAAGAGTGCAATAACTCTGCACGTTGCCCATGGTGGTGCTGAATGCATGCAGGTCCAAGAAACACACAAATTTTTTAAAAAAAGCATGCAATTGGTCTGAACGTTGGTCCAAGAAACCCAAAGATTAAAAAAAAAGAGTGCAATTGGTCTGAACGTTGCTCATCATTGCAATTTTTATTTATTTATTATTATTATTTTTTTTTTGGCTGAATACAGGCAGGGGAGAAAAGGAAAGAGGAAGAGGCGGTGGAGATGGCGGGGCCTCTCGGGAAAAGCGAGGTTGTGAATCGCGAACTGGCGGCATTGGAATCTGAACTTGGACGGAATTATGAGCAAGATCAGCTCGACGCATTTGGCATGTACCTTTATGGTGTTGTTTTGCACCAACGAGAGCGGAAAGCAGAGGCGCGGATGGTCCTGTGCGCCTCGGTAAATTCCTACCCATTGAATTGGAGTACGTGGGCGGAGCTGCAAGCAATATGTACGGAGCCAGAGACCCTACCTAATCTTTCGCTGAACGAACATTGGATGAAGTACTTTTTCCTCGCGAGTGTGTACCTGGATCTTCAAAAGAACAAAGAAGGTCTTCATCAGTATCAACTATTGCTAGCAGATTTTCCCCGTAGCGAATACATTCTCGCACAAACGGCGACGGCGCAGTACAATCTCCGATCTTTCGATGAAGCCCAGGAGTTATTTGAAAGTCTGCTTGGAAGCGATCCTTATCGAATCGAAGGGATGGACATCTACTCCAACATTCTTTACGTGAAGGAAGCGTTTTCTGCGCTAAGCTACCTTGCACACAAGGCGGTTTTGACGGACAAGTACCGCCCCGAGACATGCTGCATTGTAGGAAACTACTACAGCCTGAAAGCACAACATCAGAAAGCGGTTTTGTATTTCAAGCGCGCACTGAAGCTCAATCGCCAGTATTTATCGGCGTGGACCTTGATGGGCCATGAATATGTTGAGATGAAAAATACTCCTGCTGCCATCGATGCATACAGGTGAGTTGATGGAACTTCGAACTTCCGTGGTTTGTTTTCTGCTCCATAACCATCCAGTCGTCCACTTTCCTAAATCTCAGGTACTGACAACCAGAGAAAGAAGCCTTGAATCCAAGAAAGGATATGGAGCCAGGGCCATATAAAAAGTTAAAAACCTGTTTTTTTTACTATTCAAAGGAAGAAGGTGTGTGTGTGTGTGTGTGTGTGTGTGTGTGTGTGTGCAACAATTAGTGGCTGTTGTGAAGTTTGAGCTCCCTCACACACGAAGGGCACTACAGGTCTGCCTGGAGATGTACACTGCGTTTTTATGTGTGTTTCACTTTCCCTGCCCCCTAGCTCTCCTGACTGATTCTGCCATTTCAGATCCCTGATTGTTCTGCCTCTTCCCCTCGCTCTTGCTCTCTTCTTCACTGTTCCTGTCTCTCCGTTTGTTGGTCTCCCAATCTGTCTCTCATTCCCTGCCTCACTCTATAGCTTGTTTTCTCTCTCTTCGTCTCTCTCTGTTTCTTTTTTTGTCTTGTCTAAGTGTCTGTCTGTCTCTCCCCACGCCCCCCCACTCTCTCTCTCTCCACCTCCCCCTTCTCTCTCTCCCCACAACC